TGCAATAATGGCAGAAATAAAATAATCCGACAAGAGGCTCTAATCTTTCCCTACGCCGAACAAAATCAACTTGGCCGGGACATGCACTTTAAAATCGATCCTCCGGAGCAGAGACGCAAGAACGGCGTCAGCGGCCATTTGCTTCGACAACGAAGGAGGAGCTCATGAACCACACGGGAGGCTTTGTGCAGTAACCCGTAGCAACCAACCATGACTGGTCACCCCGGGTCCATGCATTGCTTTTTCTTCGCCTAGGAAGCTAAATTTGTTTTAGAAATGATCGGAAGAAGCAACAACAACAACGGGGACTGAGAGCGACCAGAGCAGGCTGAAGGGCTTTATGTTACTGGAGAGACTCTGAAAAGAAGAAAGGCCGCCCGGATACATCACCCAAATTGAACACACTTGTTTTTTTAATGGAATACCTTCTCTTACAATGTAGAAATTCACACCTTTAAAAAATGAAATCACGCCTTACCGAGAACAAAAAACAAGCTAAAAATATAAAGGAAACGAGCTTTAGTCGGAGGAGGACAAAGCTTTAAGAGCTTATCATTGGGAAGGATGAGATACACGAGGTGCGCGTTATCCCGCTGTGCCCCTCGGGGGCGAGCCCTTTATTCTTTTATCTTTGGAGGGGGACACGGCCTAAGGCGCTATTGTATATAGAAGGAGCTTATCTAGAGAGACATCATGGAGCGTGAGGGCCAAACAGAAGAAGAAGAGATCTCGATGTCTCTTCCCTAAAAATACACATTTTCTTGGCCGGCAGAAAGCCGGCCAAGAAAATAGTATTCCGTCATCGTACACAAAGGGCTAGAAAAATACAATCTGCAGGATTTCATTTATAAGGTTAGTTGTGGCTGACTGACCTCCCATGAGATGGGGCCTCCATGGCTGTGGGGCCAACATCAGGTGGCAGAGCCAGCAGCAGGACACCAATGATCCTTTTAGCCGTCTGTAATGGTGGCTTCTTATGTTCCGTCACAGTAGGGGAAGCGTAGGTGGATCTCCTACTGACACGGGTTAGAATGGAGGTCACATCCATCTTCCTTCCCATTCTGTTTGGTTCTTCTAGTGATGGACCCATAGGGAGGCGTTAGTCCGTTCTAGATCAGTGTAATCGTGAGTCAAAACTGGACTGACTGAACGCCTGTGTGGGGGAACCCAAGGGAGGCATTCTTCTCACTGACCCCCAATGTAAGGAACATTCTTCTCACTGACCCCCAATGTAAGGAGCATTCTTCTCACTGACTCCCAATGTAAGGAGCATTCTTCTCACTGACTCCCAATGTAAGGAGCATTCTTCTCACTGACTCCCAATGTAAGGAGCATTCTTCTCACTGACTCCCAATGTAAGGAGCATTCTTCTCACTGACTCCCAATGTAAGGAGCATTCTTCTCACTGACTCCCAATGTAAGGAGCATTCTTCTCACTGACTCCCAATGTAAGGAGCATTCTTCTCACTGACTCCCAATGTAAGGAGCATTCTTCTCACTGACTCCCAATGTAAGGAGCATTCTTCTCACTGACTCCCAATGTAAGGAGCATTCTTCTCACTGACTCCCAATGTAAGGAGCATTCTTCTCACTGACTCCCAATGTAAGGAGCATTCTTCTCACTGACTCCCAATGTAAGGAGCATTCTTCTCACTGACTCCCAATGTAAGGAGCATTCTTCTCACTGACTCCCAATGTAAGGAGCATTCTTCTCACTGACTCCCAATGTAAGGAGCATTCTTCTCACTGACTCCCAATGTAAGGAGCATTCTTCTCACTGACTCCCAATGTAAGGAGCATTCTTCTCACTGACTCCCAATGTAAGGAGCATTCTTCTCACTGACTCCCAATGTAAGGAGCATTCTTCTCACTGACTCCCAATGTAAGGAGCATTCTTCTCACTGACTCCCAATGTAAGGAGCATTCTTCTCACTGACTCCCAATGTAAGGAGCATTCTTCTCACTGACTCCCAATGTAAGGAGCATTCTTCTCACTGACTCCCAATGTAAGGAGCATTCTTCTCACTGACTCCCAATGTAAGGAGCATTCTTCTCACTGACTCCCAATGTAAGGAGCATTCTTCTCACTGACTCCCAATGTAAGGAGCATTCTTCTCACTGACTCCCAATGTAAGGAGCATTCTTCTCACTGACTCCCAATGTAAGGAGCATTCTTCTCACTGACTCCCAATGTAAGGAGCATTCTTCTCACTGACTCCCAATGTAAGGAGCATTCTTCTCACTGACTCCCAATGTAAGGAGCATTCTTCTCACTGACTCCCAATGTAAGGAGCATTCTTCTCACTGACTCCCAATGTAAGGAGCATTCTTCTCACTGACTCCCAATGTAAGGAGCATTCTTCTCACTGACTCCCAATGTAAGGAGCATTCTTCTCACTGACTCCCAATGTAAGGAGCATTCTTCTCACTGACTCCCAATGTAAGGAGCATTCTTCTCACTGACTCCCAATGTAAGGAGCATTCTTCTCACTGACTCCCAATGTAAGGAGCATTCTTCTCACTGACTCCCAATGTAAGGAGCATTCTTCTCACTGACTCCCAATGTAAGGAGCATTCTTCTCACTGACTCCCAATGTAAGGAGCATTCTTCTCACTGACTCCCAATGTAAGGAGCATTCTTCTCACTGACTCCCAATGTAAGGAGCATTCTTCTCACTGACTCCCAATGTAAGGAGCATTCTTCTCACTGACTCCCAATGTAAGGAGCATTCTTCTCACTGACTCCCAATGTAAGGAGCATTCTTCTCACTGACTCCCAATGTAAGGAGCATTCTTCTCACTGACTCCCAATGTAAGGAGCATTCTTCTCACTGACTCCCAATGTAAGGAGCATTCTTCTCACTGACTCCCAATGTAAGGAGCATTCTTCTCACTGACTCCCAATGTAAGGAGCATTCTTCTCACTGACTCCCAATGTAAGGAGCATTCTTCTCACTGACTCCCAATGTAAGGAGCATTCTTCTCACTGACTCCCAATGTAAGGAGCATTCTTCTCACTGACTCCCAATGTAAGGAGCATTCTTCTCACTGACTCCCAATGTAAGGAGCATTCTTCTCACTGACTCCCAATGTAAGGAGCATTCTTCTCACTGACTCCCAATGTAAGGAGCATTCTTCTCACTGACTCCCAATGTAAGGAGCATTCTTCTCACTGACTCCCAATGTAAGGAGCATTCTTCTCACTGACTCCCAATGTAAGGAGCATTCTTCTCACTGACTCCCAATGTAAGGAGCATTCTTCTCACTGACTCCCAATGTAAGGAGCATTCTTCTCACTGACTCCCAATGTAAGGAGCATTCTTCTCACTGACTCCCAATGTAAGGAGCATTCTTCTCACTGACTCCCAATGTAAGGAGCATTCTTCTCACTGACTCCCAATGTAAGGAGCATTCTTCTCACTGACTCCCAATGTAAGGAGCATTCTTCTCACTGACTCCCAATGTAAGGAGCATTCTTCTCACTGACTCCCAATGTAAGGAGCATTCTTCTCACTGACTCCCAATGTAAGGAGCATTCTTCTCACTGACTCCCAATGTAAGGAGCATTCTTCTCACTGACTCCCAATGTAAGGAGCATTCTTCTCACTGACTCCCAATGTAAGGAGCATTCTTCTCACTGACTCCCAATGTAAGGAGCATTCTTCTCACTGACTCCCAATGTAAGGAGCATTCTTCTCACTGACTCCCAATGTAAGGAGCATTCTTCTCACTGACTCCCAATGTAAGGAGCATTCTTCTCACTGACTCCCAATGTAAGGAGCATTCTTCTCACTGACTCCCAATGTAAGGAGCATTCTTCTCACTGACTCCCAATGTAAGGAGCATTCTTCTCACTGACTCCCAATGTAAGGAGCATTCTTCTCACTGACTCCCAATGTAAGGAGCATTCTTCTCACTGACTCCCAATGTAAGGAGCATTCTTCTCACTGACTCCCAATGTAAGGAGCATTCTTCTCACTGACTCCCAATGTAAGGAGCATTCTTCTCACTGACTCCCAATGTAAGGAGCATTCTTCTCACTGACTCCCAATGTAAGGAGCATTCTTCTCACTGACTCCCAATGTAAGGAGCATTCTTCTCACTGACTCCCAATGTAAGGAGCATTCTTCTCACTGACTCCCAATGTAAGGAGCATTCTTCTCACTGACTCCCAATGTAAGGAGCATTCTTCTCACTGACTCCCAATGTAAGGAGCATTCTTCTCACTGACTCCCAATGTAAGGAGCATTCTTCTCACTGACTCCCAATGTAAGGAGCATTCTTCTCACTGACTCCCAATGTAAGGAGCATTCTTCTCACTGACTCCCAATGTAAGGAGCATTCTTCTCACTGACTCCCAATGTAAGGAGCATTCTTCTCACTGACTCCCAATGTAAGGAGCATTCTTCTCACTGACTCCCAATGTAAGGAGCATTCTTCTCACTGACTCCCAATGTAAGGAGCATTCTTCTCACTGACTCCCAATGTAAGGAGCATTCTTCTCACTGACTCCCAATGTAAGGAGCATTCTTCTCACTGACTCCCAATGTAAGGAGCATTCTTCTCACTGACTCCCAATGTAAGGAGCATTCTTCTCACTGACTCCCAATGTAAGGAGCATTCTTCTCACTGACTCCCAATGTAAGGAGCATTCTTCTCACTGACTCCCAATGTAAGGAGCATTCTTCTCACTGACTCCCAATGTAAGGAGCATTCTTCTCACTGACTCCCAATGTAAGGAGCATTCTTCTCACTGACTCCCAATGTAAGGAGCATTCTTCTCACTGACTCCCAATGTAAGGAGCATTCTTCCCTCTGACCCCCAATGTAAGGAGCGTTCTTCCCACTGACCCCCAATGTAAGGGACATTCTGCCCACTGAATGCCAATTCTTCCCACTGATCGGTGACGACTCGGTTTTAGGGCTCCTTGTGACCTGGACATGATTTAGGGGTCCCTCTGGGGTACAGGAGTGAAGAACGGCTGCTCTAGACATGAGATTCGCTTGTCGGCTAAAAAGGAAATTCTGTAACAATATAAAAGATTACGTGGAATATA